GGCCGGGGGAGTGTGCAGGGAAGGAACCAGAGAGGCAGGCGGTGATGAGGGGCTGGACTGGAGTAGGTGAGTAGGCTGGTTGTGAGCGAGAAGGAGAGGACGCGGTGTCGTGGGTTGGAGGGGGTGGGAGAATAAAAAGTTGGTGCTCAAGTGTCACGCTGCAGGCCACGGACTCCTACCGCAGAGCGGAGACGGGTGGAGGAAATGCAAGTCACCGGCCGGCTGGGTTTGGGAAACGGTGAAGCTGTTTAGTCTCCCAGGGAGACTATCCATGGGGCTAGTGGGTCTGCTGCTTGGAAGACAAGTCAGAATCAGGAGAGGTCACCCGCGCAGGGACTGAGAAAGACAGCCAGAATTGCTCTTGGAGAATGAAGCAATCAGAAGAAGACAGGAGCACAGGAGGAGCTCCAGAGCGAACAGCCTAGAGAGAACGAGGCCCAAGAAGTCCCGGAGAGGGAGCCTGGAGGGCGAGGGAGGGCCGGCACACCCAGGGCTCTCCCCTAGGTGGTGCAGCCCCTCAGGCCACCCCCCACATTCCGCACTGTCCCCATCTCCCTGCCCCCTCCCCTCCCCTCCCCCCATCCTCTTCCTGACCCGGGTGTGTAACAGTGGTCCGCGTGGTTTCCCAAACTCTCAGCCCGGCCACGAGGACACGTGCAAACTGCACAGAACCCCTCGCACACTTCATAACCAGGAGGACGGCTCACACTGCCGGAGCCAGGAGGAAGCATGCAGGCAGCCTTGCCTGTGAAGAGCCCCTCAAGTTTTGGGGAAGCTGGAAACCACAGATCCCTACACCTCTCCACCAGACACCACTGGGTCCTTCCGGGAGCAGCAGCCTCCAGAACTGGCCTTGACCAGCCGTCACACGGTGGGAACACAGAGGCAAGGGCTGGGGGTAGGAGGCAGCCTGCGGATCCAGACAGAGGGGCGCAGGCTGAGAGACCAGAGACCAGAGCTCTACCTGCGCAGTCCCGGCTTCGCGATGTGCTGAGAAGAGGCCCTGCTCTGGCTGGCAGAGCTGCAATTGATTAACAGCTCACAGCCGGAGGCGGGGCGGGATGGGGAAGAGGGGGAGTAGGCAATCAACAAACAAGAAAAACAGCAACCCACCACCCTACTTACCAGCTGATGAGCTGTTAATTAGGTTTCTATAAACCCCCATAACCAAATTATAAATTGGCTTCCAATAAATAAAAATATAGAAGGCAGTCAGCTCTTCTGCCTCGCTGCTATCTCAGTAAAGTTCTATAAACTGATGAACACCTGTGGCATGAAGATCCAAACGCTGGAGAGGTAAATGCAGAATGGGGCCGCGATGCTCCCCACACGGCCTACCGTGCTGCCACTCCCCACAGCCAGCGACCTGGAAACGCGGAGAGGATTAATACAGCAGCAAGAACAGAGGACAAGAAAGGCACAGGATGCAGAGAGTGAGGGAACAGCTGCCCAGAGCCCCTGTCCACCCTTCCAGCAGAGAATAAATAGTAAAACTTAACTTAGCTTAATATACTTGTAAATAATTTTACTTTAATTTTTTAAGAATTGTTCATGATTTATATTCTCATTCTGTGAAACAGCAGTGTAAACAAGCATGCAGATAATTCAAAACAGTTCAAGACCAAAAAAGAAGGTAAACCAATCATCATCAGCTATGTAGATGAGGCCCTTACATATACTCATTGAGTCTAATATTGCGGATAACATCAGTTGTCTTGTAGAGCAGGAGTTTATTTGGGGTATGGAGTGGGGATTTGGGAAACCAAAAGATTTATATCTATGGAACATCCTATTTCAACTTTTTAAAGTCAAGCAATATCTTAATGTGCTTTTCTTTAAAAGTTATTTAAACCTTATAGGATGTCTAGTAGGAAGCAAAGAATGTGCTTTCAACATGAATAAGTATCTCTTATTAAGCCTAGGAGAAAGGCCCCAGGAGAAACCAAACCTGCCAAACAGCTTGATCTCAGACTTCTAGCCTCCACAACTGTGAGAAAATTCACTTCTGTTGTTTGAGCCCCTCAGTCTGTGGTGCTTTGTTATGGCAGCCCTAACAAACTAACACAACTGACATCAGGACATCAAGAGAAACAACCTGAGAAATTTAGCCTTGAGTTGATGTAAGTCGACTGTATTTGAGACTTAAAATGGTTTTAGGATAATAAGAGTGTTATTTCAAAACAAGTTCTCTAATATCCTTGCTAATGACATATAGACAAAGCCTCAGATTCAGAATTAGCGTCATCATGTAACCCTCCCATAGCTCGGAGCTCCAGTAACTTCTACGGAAAGAAAGCATTTATACTCAAAGGCCAGATGTAATCAAATGACACATAAGTGAAAGATAACAAGAAAACAACAGAAAAATATGTAACTCTTACCTTACAATGGTTGGATACAGCTCTGCTGTATAAAGGTATATAAGGCCAAATGCTGCCCCTATGGAAAATTTTCCAGCCATGGTTGCCACCACACACCAAACATGGTAATCCTGAAAAAATATATATTAGCAAAATAGACCATCATTTTGTCATCAAGTAATATTTTTAAAAGAAAAATAGAAAATCCTTAAAATTATTACTTGAAACTTTCTAATTCTCCAGTATTTTTCAGAACAATAAAGAGTTTTATTTTGTAAACTTGACGCATGGTCTGCAAAAGCTTTCCATCTTTATGAAATTTAGAGGAAAGTTTTATTGTGCCTCCCTGCAGCCTTGGAGATTTCAAATTACCAAATAAGAAAAGCTATTTGGGGAGAGACACTTTGGAATGAGACCCTCCCAGATGGTTTCTGCTGTCGTCCCCAACACGTTCTATTTCCTGCAGTGGTTCTCAGAGACCTCCCACAGTCCATCTTTTCTCTCCTCTTCTGTCTGCCAGCTGGGTGTTGAGACCCAGGTGACCTTGGAGCTCATGTGTGAGGAGTGGCAGCACCCGAGTCCCTGAATGATTCCATGGAGCCAAACACCCCCTTCACCACTCCCGCAGCCACCAACGAGGTACACCCACATCGAAATTTCTATGAGCAAGAAATAAATGTCTATGATCTGAAGTTACTGAGATTTGGTGGTGCCTCTACTAAGGCAACCAGTGTCACCTTGTCACCTTAATTACTATTGTAGATATTTGTTGAATGAATTAATGGGACTTAAAAAATGTTGTATTGTGTTGACATTACCATTTGGAGAGAAGTTTTATTAGAGGGGAAAAATTTGTGGCTAAGGGATAGTACTCTATTTCTAGAAATCCCCATCAGCTACTTTCCTGTCTTCCACATTACCGCTGGGGCTTAACCACCATAGAACCTGAAGGTTCTAGGGTTTCCCTAAATCTTCACCGCTCAAAGACAGCTGCCATCAACTCAACAAATATAACTGCAAGCTACTTAAAAACACAAACAAAAAGGGTGTGAATGAAGCTCCCTCAAATTGGCAGAGACCTCCTTGTCTTAAGCAGTTTTAACTGATGTGTATCAGTTGTATATATCAATCACCTGGAAACGTCAATACATAAAACATTTGATTCACCAAACCTGATCATTAAGTGAAGCGTTACTATAAAAGGAAGTCACTGGTTAGCTTAAGTTAAATTTCAAACAATATGCAAAACTTAAAATGCCTTGATCTAAATGTTGAGATACTATTGCTTAATAATTATTAAATCGATTTAAAACAAAGTATTTTAAAGTATTGTTATAGTGACCATATTTTCCATATTGAGAATGAAAATACAGGTTTTCCATTTTGGGGGGAAAGAGAAGAGCACTTCTGGGTGCAAGAGGTATTCTAGGGGATGGAGTTTGCCAAAATACAGGAATGTGAAAGTCGTTTCAGTAGTTTATGGCACTGTTTCTCACTAAGAAATTGAATTTTAAAAACAAGCTCCTCAGGGGATTTATGCACACTAGACATTGGAAACTACTAATCTACCACAGTGAAAAAAAAAAAAAAAACAAGACTATTTCAACTGGAACAATCCTGAACATAAGACTCATCATATCTTTCAGCTGTCTCCATGGCTCCCTCTCCTTCAGGTTTCTGATCAAACATCACCTTCTCTGAGAGGCACACCATCCTCAGTCACCTTAGATAAAATAAAATAGTTCACATGTGCGTTCCCCCTCCATACACAGTCATTCTCCATCCCTCATCCTATTTTGTTTTTCTTCATTATACTCAGAGAAACTTGACTTACTGCACATCCTCACTACCTAGAAAAGAACCTGGCACATACTAGATGCTGGATAGATCTTTCACGAATGAATAAAAGTTTAAGACGACGATAATTACTGCAATCTACTCTTCTCACTCAGGATGATCATGTTGGCAAAATACAACAGTGGCCATCTCTCGGAAGTGGGATTATAGGCTTTTCCCCCTACCCTCGCCCCACATTTCTTTTTTTCCTTAAATTTTCAACTATCTGTGTAACAGAGAAAGAATCACTCTTAAAGAAAACATTTAAAATACTATGTACAGCATATACTCTATCCATATGTCTTAATTCATCTTCATATTCATAAGCTGAAAATGCTCCCATCACACTGTCATAGTATAACCACTCCCTAAATAAAACGTAAAGTAACTCACCTTGGGGATCACCATAATCACACCATTGGTCACTGCACTTGAGAGAAGGGAGAAAACCAGAATGCTTCTTCTCCCCACATGGTCCATCCCGAAGCACACAAAGATGTAGGCAGGAATTTCCACTGCACCTGTCATGGAGCAAAATGATGCATCTCAATAAGCCACCGTGTCCAACTGAACAAGGGGACCCTGCCTTCTAAAGAGCTTCCCTATGCCACCCAAAAGGAATGGTCAGTCCTCTCTGCTTCCAGGGGCTTCTAAGAACTATCTAACAACTGCCTGAGAGGCAACAAGCCCCACGACTTTTAAACTCACTGGAGTGGGCAGGATGTTTGCTGTGATGTGCACTAATGCTCACATAATCTGCCTAGCACTTATCACCTGACTTCGGAATCTTATACCAGACTAGGTAGGAAGCTCCCCAGGACACGACACAGTGACTGGAGCATGGGCCGGTTGAATGAATAAATATGTAAATTAATAGGCAACATTGATCTTTTTTGACCTTTGGCTTCTTCTGCTTGGCAGAACTATGGGGAAATGTTTGTACTGTAAGTTCGAACATAGCAATTAAAGTAGAAAATTCAGTGCCAGATTTACATCTGTCAGCCAGAATGCATCAGGGAGCAAGCAAGAAGTTCTCTCAGCAAAACCGACCAAACCCAATAATAGCCTTTGAGAAACTGTCACTGTTTACTAGCCTAGGTTGTCCACGTAATTCAAAGGTCTGTTCTTTCGACCCTCCGGAGCTTGCCTAACCCCAGGACACTACCCGCCACTGCCTTTTAGGACTGATGTGCATTTTCCCATTCAACTACAGAATGCTGCAAGCACCTGGACCGGCAGGTCTGGGTCTACATGTCTCCTACAGTTTTGGGAACATATCTCTGCAGGTGGACACATATTTTCTGAGTTAACATTCTTAGCAGTACATCAGAAATTAAACTCAGTTGCAGCTGCTCAGAAAAAAATAACAAAAAAAAATGGCTGGGCAAAGACAAAAAAATAACATTCTGAGCCCCATTGGAGAGACAGCCTCCCTCCTTTTCATTAACATGGAAAATAAACAACTCCAGAGAAAAGGCCTCCCTTTCACAGACCCTGCTGTAGGGTCCATGCCTCCAGGCCCGAACAGTAGGTACATCTATTACTCTACTCTTTCTTTTGTTTGTTCGTTTATCAAACACTTTTCAAGGTCAAATAAATCAATGATTCTCCAAAGAACCTCATGGGAATAGGCCTGGATTATTACCCCCACTTTCCAACTCAGATTAAATGACTTGAGCCCAGTGAGTAAGTAACAGCTCAGGGACTGGTCTTTGGGAGCCAAGGCCCCTTTCCTGCAACCTCCCTCCCTCATGTCTGGTTCCCTCCACGTCTGACTCAGGGCTTCCCTCTCTACAGCACTGTGTGCAAGGCCACCAACCGACTTCCTGGAGTCTAGCAAAGCTGCACAGCAACTGGGAAACGGCTGAAGAGACCTTTTAAAGTATATTCCACCTTGATGTTTCCTGAGTTGTTGTATAAATGCTGCATCTAAATTTTGACTTGACTATGTCTGGGATAGAAATGGTGCAACCAATGAGGCCCAATCTGTTTGGGATTAGGACCATGTGCCTTATCTTCTTTACTTTATAATGTATAACCCCATTCTGCTCCTGTCTCCACATAACCTCAAAGATATGTCTTCAGGCTACTGTAGCGCTTATCACCTGCAAGTAGCACAAAACCTAAGCTGAAAATCCCACCAGCACCAAACCATCTCAGGAGATGAAAACTTGTTCAAAAATTTCACAGCACGGAAGTGTTGACTAGAATCGCCTGTCAGGCAGAGGGCTGCTGGCAAGGGTAATGACGTGAAAAATCAAAGGCAGTGGAGACTATAAAACCATGGTATTTGTCTTGGAAACATTTTTATATTTACGAGATTGCCCGGTTTCTTGAGAATTTACATCTCCATCAAAATTAAGACTATAGCATAAAGATCTAAAACTCCTAAGCTTCCCTATGCCACACCCCTCCCCACTTCATTCTCCTACCATTTGCTGCTCTGTTCTACTAATACTGCATCCTTTCTCCAATTGACACATAGAATGTGTTTGAAGTCAAGATAGGCTCTTTTTACAAACTTGTTGGTCTGCCCAAAAAAAGAGTAAAGTTTTTTTCTTAAAATTACTTATCTCATAATTTCTGCTGAGCTATAATAAACCAAAACAGGTGTCTCATTAGAGCACTTTAATGAGAAGGGATGTTAGCTATGTATAAAAATTTTAAAGCAAACTTTTCTGGGGATAATATCAAATACAAGCAGCCTACACGGAAGTAACCAGCTGGACAAATGCATTTCTGATAATTCTCTCATGTCTGGTATGAATTTGGTTTACCCTAGGAGTCACACCTCAAGCTATCACAGCAGTACCTGAAGCTATTTTAACCTGCTACTGAATTAAAAGAAGCATGACAACATAAATTACAGTTGCATGTATTTAGGTTATTTTACTGACTAAAATTCCTAAATTAAGGACATTTGAAGGTAGAAAGATACCAGAAGATCTCCAAGACATGTTAAATATTAAAAGGGATGCAACTTGCAAAGAACAGTGTGTAGCGAATAATCTCATTTACGTTAAAATATAAAAGGTTTATCTGCACAAATGTATGGAGATGCACAAAAAGAGATCTGAAAGTATAAGCCAAAGGTTACAGAAGTTACCTCTGAAAGATAGTTCTGAGATGGCAATGGGCTTAAAGAAAGGAAGCAAACAAGAAGAGGCAGAAGAGGAAGGAGGGACTCAAGTCTTCTGTTTGCATTTTTTTGAAGAGAATATATACATGTGTAACACTAAAAGAGACCATAATCACGTAGTTGGCAGTATTGTTGCTGGTAGAAAAAAAGACAATAGAAACACTCTCAAAACTTGGTAGAAATTTCACTTCATGGCTACAACTTAAATGGCGTTTAACCACTTACCCATGAGGAAGAGATTTAAATATTCATTGCCTCCCAAATTAACAGAATTCAAGGAGAAGGTGTAGAACCCAAAACACCCCGTGAACCAAATCAGCCAAACAATAAGTGTCCTTGTTCCAATACTCCAGTCATAAAACAGATCTGATAGGGTGTGCTTCTCAACTTGAGAGGGCTTATTACCAGCAGAACCATTGTGATCCAGTGATAAAAGTTCTGACAGTTTACAGGATCTCGTCCTATTCCACTTGGCCATCGTATCAATTACTTTTTGTGCTTCCTCATATTTTCCCTCTGAGAGAAGCCAAAAAGGTGTCTCTGGGAGCATCCAACAGCACAGGACAAAGGGGACAGTCACTGTGGAGAGGACTATCTGATAGATCCACCAGGTCCTGACCAAGTAGCCCGTCAAAGCCACCACCATGGTTCCAAAAGCAAAAAAGGAATGCAAGTGGATGGATGCCCACGTCCGAGACTTCATGCCGACAAATTCTGTCACATAGACAAACACCACCACGAGATAGCCACTTCCAGACTGCAAAACAAAGCAGGGAGGGTGGTCCAGATTTAAGGTCACACACATAACTACTAAGGAGTCCAATCTCTCTGCAAATCACACATAGGCAAGAAAGAAAATGACAAAGCATTGTTTTCTGAAACCCGTATCATATTTATACAATGGCGTTTAATCCGATCCATCCTTCTTTAAATGGGTCCTTTCATCTTCTCACACCCTGTCCACCCCAAATGGCAAAACTTGAGTGGTTATGCATGATATAAATGTTAGACACTGCCTGTTGCTTCATTTAAATATTCCTTTACAGTGTGAATTTATGTCTCAGTTCCTTGCAAATGTGTGCATCAATTTATCTATATAGAGAAGAGCCTTATTATCAAATCCTAAATTTTAAATAGGGACAAACAATTTATGGTAACTAGTGAGAAGAAAAAAAATTTGATTAAAACTTCATTTTGACAGGCAATAGCAGTAACGACAAAAAAACCAGACAAACTGCACTTCAGGGAAATTCAAAATTTCTGTGCATCAAAGGGCACTATCACCAGAGTGAAAAGCCAACTTACGGAATGAGATATATGCAAATCATGTATCTGATAGGAGACTAACATCCAGAATATGTAGAGAACTCCTAAAACTCAACAATGAAACAAACCCTTACAGGGTATTTGCTTCTGTCAGAAACATCCACAAAACATTTGGTCCACACCAAAAGGTCCTTGAAATTTGTTCCTATCCAAAACATCCACGAGCATATTTGGTCTATGCCAAATGGTTTTGGACAGGACCAAATATCAAGTACCTTTTGGCCTGGACCAAATGTTTTATGGATGCTTTGGACAGGACCAAACATCTGCTAACCAAACCAACAATCAAATTCAAAAATGGATTTTTCCAAAGAAAATACAGGAATGGCAAATAGCTCAGAAAAAGATGCTCAGCATTACTCATCATTAGGGAAATGTACATCAAAATCACAGTGAGATGCCACCGCATGGCCATTAGGATGGATAGTATCAAAAAAACAAAAAAACAAACAATAACAGGTGTTGGTGAGTATGTGGAGAAATCAGAACCCATATGCACTATTGGCAGGAATGTAAAATGGTACAGCTGCTATGGAAAACAGTATGGGAATTCCTCAAAAAATTAAGAATATTATTACCATATGATCCAACAATCCTATTTGGGGAATATACCCAAAAGAACTGAAAGTGAGATCTCAGAGAAATATTTTTATACCCATGCTCATAACAGCATTATTCACAGAAGCTAAAATGTGGAAGCAAGCCAAGCATCCATCAACAGATGAATGGATAAGCAAAATGTGGTCTATACATACAATGGAGTATTACTTAGCTTTAAAAAAGGAATATTCTGACATATGCTCCAACATGAATGAACTCTGAGGACATTATACCAAGTGAAATAAGCTAACTCCAAAAAGACAAATACTATGTGATTCCATTTTTATGAGGTACCTAGAGCAGTCAAATTCATAAGACAGAAAGCAGGATGGTGGTTGCTAGGGGTCAGGGGGGAAGAGGGAATGGGGAGTTATTGTTTAATGAATATAGAGTTTCAGATTTGCAAGATGAAAAGAGTTCTGGAGATGGATAGTGGTGATGCTTGCACAACAATATAAATGTACTTAATGTGTACTGAACTACATGCACTTAAAAATAGTTAAGATGGTAAATATTGTTATGTGTATTTTACCACAATAAAAAAAAACGGGGGAAAAAACTTTATTTTGAAAATAGGCCTATCTCTTTTTTTCAATAAATAAATTTATTTATTTATGGCTGCATTGAGTCCTCGTTGCTGCACGTGGGCTTTCTCTAGTTGCATCGAGCGGTGGCGGTGGGGGGGGCTCCTCTCTGTTGTGGTGCACTGGCTTCTCACTGTGGTGGCTTCTCTTGTTGCAGAGCACTGGCTCTAGGCACATGGGCTTCAGTAGTTGTGGCTCGCGGGCTCTAGAGCGCAGGCTCAGTAGT